CCTACTCTAGGTGTGACTTACTACACAACACGGTTTCAGACACTATAGTCATATGGAATTCAAAGAAACAATAAAAATAATAAACAAAAGTAAGAAATGTTACAGCATATAGAAAGGCAAATTTAGCCATTCATGGTCAAAACAACTGCATCAATAAAATGAGTCAAGCTTGCAGTAACTGAATTCTTATCCTTATTGAAACATAGAGGAACTTTATTGATGATTCGTTAATGAGAACAGATCTTAAATCTCTTGCTTGTTCACTTCTTCTCTCAGATCTCATATGGTCTAGTAAAAGAACTCTAGCATACAATATTAAGGCACAAGTGGGTCACCGGGTCTCCATGCTGCTAATTAGCACTCTCTGAATTCCTGTTAGGACCTTTCTCTGGTGTGTCACATAGTTATGCAAATTCAAACATACCCAGAGGCAAGTTTTTCTAGCCATTGGTAACAAATTTGTACAGCTCCGGGGGAAGAGAAAATGGTGATCATGTTAAAATCCATTATAATAGTATTTTTAAGTACTGTAATGTCTCTTTCGTGGCCAAGTCCTGATATTGTAGAACAACAATGACGATAACAAAAAAGCCCTTTCCAGATATGTGGTAATCTACTTTTGCCAAAAATATCAGGAGAAGACACTAGCAGTGCCCTCTCTCTCTCTCTCTTCATTCTCCCCATCTCTACATGGAATGGCTCTCTGTACAAAGCTACCTCATTTTCCCATTCCTTCCAATCATTGTGAAAAGACACATAAAGGTGACTCTCCTTTTCAGATTGTTGTTGTCTATGTGAGATGAGGGATGGTCATAATGGTGGAGAGGGCAAGACTAGTGAGCTCCCCCTCCTTGCAGGTTTACTTGAAGTAGATTACCAAATGCCTGAACAAGGCTATGGCAGAACCTGCCAATAAGAAGCAAACCTCTTAACTCCAACAGGCCAAATTCCTGAGGGCCTGCCCAGATGTCATGGATGCAGCCACATATGTTTATTTACAGCTGAAGTCATGTGTATCTAATTTTAGTATCAGATGTGGGATAGAAGACATATAATGCACCCTACCACACGTTTCTTCACTTTACCTAGTGGCTCTTTCCAGCAGGCTTCTAGTACTTGAAGCCAGGCCATGAGAAAAGTGACTAAATCAACAGAACCTAGAGATAGGTGAATGATATATACACATTTTGTTGTTCAGATTAGGTCCTCCCCTCCCCCCCCAAACCTGAACAAGGTAGATATAAAAAACATATGATTCAGTGCAAGAAAAATATATGAACACAATACAAATATTTACATTTGTGTAAGGGGAAAAATTGATCCATTTGAAATATGGTGCTGGAAGAGAGCTTTGTGGGTACCCTGAACTGCCAGAAAGCCAAACAAGTGGGCCCTAGATAAAATCAAGCCTGGACTATCTCTGGTAGCAATAATTATGAAACAGAGGCTGTCCTACGTTGGGCGCACCATGAGAAGGCAAGATTCTCAGTGGTGGTGGTGGGGAAATAATGCTAGGAAAAGTTGACGGCAGCAGGAAGAAAGGAAGACCAAATATGAGATGAATTAACTCCATCAAGGAAGCCACAGGTCTGAGTTTATAAGAGCTGAGCAGGGCTGTTGAAGACAGGGCATTTTAGCAATCATTCATTCATAGGGTTGTCGTAAATCAGAGGTGACTTGACACCACTTAGCAATGAAAACAAAGTTACCAGTTGGGAAACTGATGCATGATCTGCGTACTTTTTGAAAAATAGCACTAGCATTATACTTTATAAATGAAGGTATCAGAAAAGTGTCGTGTGTGAAGGAGACCAGCATGTCAGGAGAGATCACTATGGGCTGTATATCATGTGTTCACATTCTGTGACTCAGAGAGTTCCCCCCTTTCTGCTCCATAAGCATGGAAACATTTCTGGTGCGGAACATGTTGTCTTATTTTAAACCTCAGCTATGAGGAGAGGATGGGGAGTGGAACAAGTGTTTGGCAGTTGACAATGTCCATCACGCTGTTTAGTGATGATGCCTGGGGGGTAAAAATAGAGAGAGTTACCTCATGGCTTTCAGCAGCAATGTCTCAGAGACAAAAGAGCAGCTTTAAAAGGCCAGTGGAGTTGCAATCAAAAGGGCTGGGTCTCTTTCAAACTTTTGGTTCTGCTCCAGAAGGGAGCTGTTCTCTTACTCCTCTCTTTCTCTTTATGGAAAGCATTGAGTTAAAAAGGGTATGTGACATGCCTTTCTCTCCGGGACTGGATCCTGCTTTCAAGAGCGTGGACCAACCCTATGCAGGTACCATTTTCTTTGTTTCGCCAAACTTTAGCGAGACTCCTCACAAGTCGCTTTCCCCTTTTCTACTAGCTTGTAGGCCTTTGCATGGTTTCCTAACTGTACACTGGGGAAAGAAGGTGAGTGGCAAGAGGAAAGTGTTGCCTTTACATTTTTAGATTTTGGGTTTTTGGGGTTTTTTTAAATATTGCCTCCCTCTTGCCTTCTAGAGAAGCAGTAGGAGGTGGAATTTGGAAAAGCTAAACAGTGGAAACCAGAAGGAGCTTTGAACTGCTTCTTTCTGTTTTGCAGCAGGACAGGTATCTCTAGTGCCAGTGAAAATGAAGGGTGGTCTAGGCAAAAGGAAACATGCTTTGAAAAACATACCCAAGGAATTGACTAGCATAGAAGACAGTATAGGTGGCTTTAAATGTGGACTGGGCAAATTAATGGCGGATAGATCTAAACACCTTTCAGCCATCATGATGGCTAAAGGGCCCTTCATGTGGAGAGGCAGCCTCGCTTTGGATGCCGGCTAGGTGGGAGGGGTAAACAATGCAGGGAAGCATGTCCCCTGGAGGCTGCAGGCCTAATAGCAGCATCTGGCTGGCTGTTGTGAGATGCAGGATTTTGAACAAGACAGTCGAATCTTATGCAGTTCATAACAATACGAAAGATCATGCTTTGGGGAGTTCTTCTCTCCCTCCTACTTTGTAGCATGGTGGTTACGGCTATTATTAATTATACTACCTAATTTTAAAAGAGGACAAATGAGGGTTGATCTTTGAATTCTTTCTTTCTTTCTTTCTTTCTTTCTTTCTTTCTTTCTTTCTTTCTTTCTTTCTCTCTTTCTCTCTTTCTCTCTTTCTTGCTGGGAACACAAAAGCAACTGGTCTGTTTTATTATGAGTCACAAGTCTGAAGCAGATGAAATCAAACTGAGAACAACTTAATACTGTAGCTACATTTTAAATGATATTTTTCTTGATTTCACATCTGTTTTTAGTTGTGAGGAGGGGTCTATCTATTCCTCATCTAATGAAGCAGCAGGTTCATCCTAAAAAATAAGTAGTAGGCTCTGCTAGTCTCAGTTCCGTGTGGCATTGCACATACTAAATACTTTGGTGAGCTTGGTTTCAACAATTACTCAGGGGTATTTTAATGTGATCGATGGAACCCCCATTTTCAGGATTTCTCATTCCTGTAAAGCTGTATGTCTGTTGCCTGACCTTTGCTGTGCTGACAACATTCCTGATGTGGTGTCTCTGGAGTGAATGGTAGGAAGGAGGATTATAGGACAGGAAAGGCTCTTTGAAACTGTGGAAGGGCCTTCTGCAAAACTTGAACATTTCAAGGACTTTGCCCTGTTAATTTCATTAGGAACCAATTTAAAAGAAAACTAATTAAATCTTATGTGTAAAAATGTGGTGCTGTAGCTATCTTGATGAATTGATTGGAACTCCAAGGGGAACATTGGCTTGATGATGATGATGATGATGATGATGATGATGATGATGATGCTTTCATTTCAAATGGTTCTTACCCTTCTAGATTGTTCTTTGGAGTCTAGAGACTAATTGAGGCCTATGGGCCTCTAAGTCCAACTTTCTGTCAAAGCAGGAGATCAAACCAGGTTCCCTGAAGAGTTCTGACATTGTCCCCTCTTGTTCTTTGCAGAGCTATATTGCAGAGACAGCAAGCAAGAAAAAATATTGTGTTTTTCTGCCATCATCATGGAAATGGATAGTATGGATAAACATTGATAGGGGACTTTTTCTTCTTTTTGAATCGTACACTTCCCATGATCTCCCTTCTTGCTTTCCCTTGGGATGGTTAGGTGGCCTTCTTCATCATTCTCAACTTTTATTTATATGTGTTGAAGGAGAAGATGTGCAAATTTGGGTAGCACATGGAGGCGGGAGCGAGACAGGAGAGATCTTGGGCTATGGAAAAAGATGATGGTGCAAGTTCTGGCTGCAGGTGGCAGATGATGTTTTTAATACTCCCTTATGTGCAAAAATCTCTCCCAACTACAAGCCGGTCACAGCAAAGGACTGGCAAAGCTAGAACTCTTCTGCCTGATATTCCGCTAGTGCTTTATTCACCTTGGATGGAGGTAATTTGCCATTAATGTATGCAAGCATCTAGAATGGCATTCCCCTATATGGCATACATAATTTTTCGCTTGCCAGACTTTGATCCCTGATTTCTAGTGACAATATGACAGAAGTGCCTCATTACTGTAGGGAATGTTCTTGGCCCCAGTCCCTGATTTACCCCAGGCCTAAATCCCATTACATTGTTTTGAGAATGCCACAGACAGCTGGAAATTATTACCTTTGGTTTTGTCAAGCTTTTCCGAATTGCTGTCTGGCTTGCCCATTTCTGAATCCCCTGTGGAGTTTAGGACAAAAGCTTTTTTTTGTCCCCTGGTCAGATTTCCCTGAAATTCCTATATTTCTCCCTGAGCTGAAGGCCTGGTACAGCATTAGAGATGAGCAAGAGCATTCTTTGCACTGACAGGGGCTCTTCTGTCATATCAAGACTAGGAAGTGGTCAGCATATCAGACCAAACAAAAAACAAGAGACAAAAACGTTGTGGTCACTTAAAGATGGGCTGCTGTATATTGATGTGAGCTTTCACGGGTCATGTCCACTTGGTCATGTAATCCATGACAGAAGTTCAGGCCTGGTTCCCTGCAGGGCTCTGACTACGCCTCTTCTCCTTGTTCTTTGCAGAGCTTCACCGCAGTGAGAGCATGCAGGAAAAAAATGTGAAAGAAGCCAAAACCAAATGCCGAACGATTGCGTCCCTGCTGACGGATGCCCCCAACCCCCATTCCAAAGGGGTTCTGATGTTCAAGAAGCGCAGGCAGCGAGCTAAGAAGTACACTCTGGTCAGCTTTGGGAGCGTTGATGAAGATCGCTGTTACGACGAAGAAGATGGTGTCTTCCCAACCAGTGAGTCCGAATTTGATGAGGAAGGCTTCTCTGATGCTCGGAGCTTAACCAACCACTCTGACTGGGACAACACCTACCTCGATATTGAGAAGCCCAAGGAACATCCCGCCGATAAGCAGGCCCAGCCAGAGCAAGGCCTCCCTGAAGCCTCAGGCAGGGGAGTGCAGATGTTTGAGCAGCAGAGGCAGAAAGCTGGCAAACATACTTTGGAGAAAGTCCCTGCACAGACACCTGAGGAGCAGCCCCATGTCCCCACCACCCTGTTGACAGACAGAGCAGGGAGCAATGAAGCACCGACTCCACACAAGGCAGAAAAGGCCCCATTAAATGTCCATTTGGAATCCATACAGGTCTCCCGGCAGCTACCATCCCCTAACCCTGCTCAGCTCCAGTCGCCATCTGGCGTCACTGGAGGAGGTGCAACCATCTCCCCCAGCACCACAAATATCTTTAACAGATCTGCCCGACCTTTCACTCCTGGTTTCTCTGGGGAGCGTCCTATGACTTCCTCTGTTGTCTTCAGACCATCAGTGCCAAAGAAAAGCAGTGAGGGTCTAGCTGGGCAGAGAATACCTGTGCCTTCTTTCTCTCCAGGGACCGCTGGGCTTGCTTCCACTCCGTCAGCAATACAGTCTAATGGCCCAGCAAGCACATCTGTGTCTCTGTATATCCCAACCACCCCATCATCAGGGCAGCCAACAGTGGCTGGGAGCTCCGCGGAGGCTAGGCCGCTTCCCAGCACAGCCAGAACTTCCACGGCTTCTATATACCTGTCAACTCCTGCTAAGCCAGCTGCAGCTGCAGTCCCCACGGCATGCCCTCCATCACGTCCTTCACAACCTCAAGAGACAACTTCTTGCACTGTGTATGTTAGCCCGGCCCCTCAGCAGCAAAACCAGCAACCCACCCAGTCCTTCAACGGGATTGCACCAGCTACACCCCAGCCGGCACCTGAACCCTTTGCCTCCAGGGAGCAGAGGGTTTCAGTTCCAGCTCCCAGAACCGGGATCTTGCAGGAGGCCCGTCGGCGGAGTGGTAAAAAGCCCATGTTCAAGTCTGTGGAGGAAAAGAAAAAGAATTCCCCTAATCCGGAGCTACTGTCCCTGGTACAGAACTTGGATGAAAAGCCCAAGGCAGAGCAGCACGGGGCAGGGTTTGAGTCTGGCCCTGAGGAAGACTTCCTCAGCCTGGGAGCTGAAGCCTGCAACTTCATGCAGCCATCAGCCCGGAGGTTCAAGACCCCACCTCCAGTTGCCCCTAAGCCCCAGGTGAATGGGTCCTCTCCTCCCCACGATTTGTCCCATTTGAGAGGGAAGGGGGCGGAGCTTTTTGCTAAGCGACAGAGCCGCATGGACAGGTTTGTGGTGGAAGCAGCGCCAACATCAGTCCCCAAACCCAGAACCCCGTCTCCAGCTCCCTCTCTGCCTTCTTCTTGGAAATACTCCCCAAACATCCGTGCTCCACCCCCCATAGCTTATAACCCGTTGCACTCCCCGTTTTACCCCCTAGCAGCCAGCAGATCTCAAGCCAGCAAGGCAGAGAGCAAGGTGAAAAAAGCACCCAGTCAGAAATCAGGGATCAAGGCCATCGACTTCATGAGGCATCAGCCGTACCAGCTCAATTCTGCCATGTTCTGTTTTGGGGAGACTCCGAGCTCTGGTGCCCAGGCCTCCACAAGCCAGACAGCCCAACAGTCCAGCTTGTCCTTCACCCCAGCCAAACAAGCCCCTGTGAAAACCGCCCGGACCTATGAAATCCGCCGCTTCTCCACACCTGCCCCAATGCCAGCTTCGGGCGGTCTGGCTCCAACTGTGTTGGCTCCACGCTCTGCCACCACCTTGGATGAGCCAGTGTGGAGGACAGAAATGACCTCCACCTCTGCGCCCGTCTCCCCTGGGCCTTTCCACGTGGCTGCCCCCCAATACCAGAGCTCCCCTGAACTTAGTGAGGCTGGCCGAGGAGGGGCTTCTCCAAGCCGACCCTCGTCATCCTCCAGTTTCCAAGTAGCCAGGCCCAGGTTCTCAGCAGCCCAGACGGGGATGCAGGCACATGTCTGGAGACCAGGCTCTAGTCAACACTGAGAGAAGACAGCTCTTTCCTGTCCCCACCCCCCCACCCCCATGGCCTCTTCTCAAATTATACATTTTAATGCATACACATAAGGGTCAAGAGCCTGCGAGAAATAAATGTACAGGGAACTTTAATCGTGCAAGTAGTTCCCCTCCCTTTGGCAAGGTGTTATTTAGTCACGTGACTAATTTTACAGCTAGCCCACCAGAAACACTATGCTAAAGAAGGGAAACTACCTGCACGATTACCATTCGCCTCTTCTCAAATTATACATTTTAATGCATACACATAAGGGTCAAGAGCCTGCGAGAAATAAATGTACAGGGAACTTTAATCGTGCAAGTAGTTCCCCTCCCTTTGGCAAGGTGTTATTTAGTCACGTGACTAATTTTACAGCTAGCCCACCAGAAACACTATGCTAAAGAAGGGAAACTACCTGCACGATTACCATTCCACACATATCTATTTCAAACAGAATTCTGGCAGATTTTTAAAAAACTTACATCTAAAAATCTAAAGAGTGGATGCAATAAACAGTTTGAAAACGCTTGTACTGGAGAAGTACACCCGCCAGGGAGCTAGGATTGGCTGAAGCTCACTGCTGTGTATCCGCTTGATGGCAAGCCCAGGTTTGCTTCAGCATAATTCGTGAAATGACTCCACAAGCACAAGTAGCAAAGAGTTACTTTTTCAGCCATACCCATCCCTTCTGTTTAGGATGGGTTCTTGTACATCAGGATAGGATGTACATCAGGATAAGAGGCAGAGAACCTTTCTTGTTTGAATCCCTGATTTGCAGTATTTCCAAGAGGAGAAGGGAAATGGTGAAGGCGGAAGAATGTGTCATTTGTACAGCAGGGTAAAGTGAAAGATACACCATCACTTTGAAAACAGCAGGAGGGTCCAAAACAGGAGCTGCAGACAGCCAGTTAGGAGAAGCTAAAACCCATTTGTGTTCCAGTGATGGGATTCAGGCACACTTTCATGACTGAGCCATCATATTTGCAAAGGAACTCTGTGTTTATCTGCCAGTGACCACTCTGAAACAAAAGTAAGCTGATTTGCAAGCGGTGGGAGCTGTGAAATTTTGTCTTGTGACAAACAGATATTTTAGCGCTTAAGGAATTCTTTCTCACTATCCGTAATGCATTTTATCTCTGAAGTGCTTTAGAAACAGCCGTGCCCCTCCAAGCTATCCTTAAGCAGCAATGTGGTGTTAAAGAAGTAGCGAGTGTTAAAATAAAAAGTAGCAAAAACATGAATGAAGCCTCAAAACCCGACTGCTATAAGCATTTGCTTGTTGTAGGCTACTAGATCATAGCCAATGCTTCCAGATGTGTTTCTTAGAAGCTCGTTTTTGGCTAGATGAATAATGGAGGGCAAGTTTCATAGAATAACAGAGTTGGATGAGGTCTGTAAGACCATCAAGTCCAACCCCCCCCCCCCACTTTCCCTAAAAGACATCTTACCCTCTATGGCTGCAATGTTGCAGACACCGGGGATGCATTCTGCAGCGCTCTCTCAGGTCATAGGGAACATTTAGCAGACTTAACATCTCCCCTGCCTTAACTAAATGTTGAGCAGCAGCATGGGCTCCAAAGCCCATGTTTGCTGACATAATGCTGAATGCCTGGGGCAAAGGTGGGTAATTAGGTGAGGAACTTCCTGCATTGGATTTTCAGGGAATAATTAACAGATGTTCTTCCTGGATTATGTCGTTGCCTGAACATTAACATTCTGAGACAAACTCCCATACTTGTGTTTGCTTTGTAGTTCTATCCTGGTGATTATGCCTGGGAATTCTTTGTAATGTATGATGTTCTGAAACCACTTACCTCCATAAAGATATGTACAATTCTCTATGTAATTAGATAGGGCAGGAGATGCAAATTCCTTTTCTGGCAGACAAAATTTCCTCCCCACCACCCTCCTTGGACTGCGCAAGATGCTCTTCAGGACTGAGAAAGTGGCCCCAAAAAGGCATGTTACAAAAAGCAAAGATGGAAGATGTACAGAGGTGTGTGTCAAGTATCTGACTCTTGTTTTCCAAACAGAACAAACACTTCTGCTTTTTATGGCAGAAGGAAATTGACTCTGCAGTCTTTGGTTGCAGGAGTGCAGTAAACACAGTCTTGTTTGCTTAGCAGCTAGTTTGCGTAGAGCAGAAACCAGACAGTCATTTGTGGAAACATCAAAAGGGAGACTGGAATTTTACGAAACACATGGAAGTAAGATTATGTGTGGACTAATGCATTTGAGAATGCAAGGAATGACATTGACCTCTAGCTAGAACAGGACACGAAGCGGAATGGAGGGAGGGACTGCATGAGGGCTCTGAAAACCTGTTTGAAAAAGAAAATGCATTCACATCTACTGGGCCTGATCCTATTTCTGACAAGTCATCCCAGGCACCAGCTAGTGGAAGTGGTTAGTGGCCATTGAGGGCCAGCTGTCATAGACTCCTTCACTTCAACAGAAGGGAAGGGCAGAAGAAAACAGTGTGGCAGTGTCAAAGTGGAGAAAGACAGACGGGTGAAAATGGCCATTGCTTTCAGACACATTCATTGTTAGGACAAATTCATGCTGTATTATTTGTGTGGATGCCCAAATAAAAATACACAACTTGAACATTAGTTTTAAAGTGCACACTGGCCTTTAAATGGCCATTGTTCTTCCCTGCATCCATGCAAGCAGAGGCTTCATTCCGCCTTGACCTAACCCTTTAGAGACAGACAGACAGACAGACAGACGGATAGACGGATAGATGGATAGACAGACGGACGGATGGACGGATGGACGGATGGATGGATGGATCGATCGATGAATGAATGAATGAATGAATGAATGAATGAATGAATGAATGGACCTGCACCTTTTCAAATCAACATACCATGTGCCCATTTCTGTTTGCAACACGGCATTTGAGAAGGAAGCTAGAGGCTTTCCAAACCAAGATACAGAAACTGTAGAGCACAGTGCGACTGACCCAGGGAATCAATAATTACCCAAAGTCCAGTTCCCAGCTGCTTCCTATTACCCACCTCTTATGTCTGCTGCACTCCATTCAAGTACTATTGTCCTTTTAAAAACTTCAGTAACTTCAAAAGCCATCCTGCTGTGACTTCTCCTACCTGCAGTTTGCCAGCTATTTTGAGCTTGACAATTTTGTATTCAGGCACCCAGAGTTGCTGTGTGAATTGGCCCGGTTGCTGAAGCTTTGCATGGACTACAGTCAAGGGGCTTGCTGGTTGGGGGAGGAATAAGTAGACGATTCTCCACACTGTTGTTTAACAGCAGTAGGAGGACCTGTAGAAGTCTTTTCTTTGGGTGGGGTCACGCAGCATGGCTCAGGGAAAACTTGGCAACCATTCATGATCTGTACTGTTTTCCAAAAAAAGTAGCCATGTTATTCTGTCTCAGTATGTTGGCAAAATTAAAGAGGGAAAAGGCACAATATTATGGTATTTCAAAAAAGTAAGATTTCAGTGTGAGCTTTCCATGGATCAAAATCTACTTCTTCATACACAATTTCTTGCTTTTGTGGATTTTGATCCACAAAAGGTCACACTGGTAAATCTGTCAGTCTTTAAAGTTCCACAATATTTCACCTTCCCTCTCTTTTTTTGCCATTTTCTTTTCCAACTTTAATTTTGCCAATGTATCTGTAATGTTGTGGCAGATCATTATCTAAGGAAGAATAGGGAAGTGTGTATGTGAAGAAACCTGTCAGAGATCAGCCAGAGGGGCAGCAGCTTAGAAGCTCTAGGGGTTGCCACAGAATGTCAAAGCCTTCTGAGCAATGAACCTAAAGGACAGGGCTCTGAAAACACCTCTAGCCTTTGTTCTGCTCCTTCCAATCTGGGCTCATTCTCCTGTTACAGGCAATTGTCTCTTCAGTTAGCAGAGATCTTTATGGTTGCTGTTTTGTGCTATCAAGTTGCATCCAGTTTATAGCAACCCTAGTAGAGTATTCAAGGAATGTGAGACATTTGAGGGATGCTTTTTAACCAGTGCCACTCCCCACTGAGTTTCCAAGGCTGAGTGGGGATTTGAACCCTGATCTTCTAAGTCTTTGTCATTCTATCCATTATACCAAACTGGGTTTCAGTGGTGGCTGGTAAGGTTCCCCTTGACATTTAGTCCAGTTGTCTCCAACTCTAGGGGGCGGTGCTCATCCCCGTTTCCAAGCCGGAACCAGCATTTTGTCCGTAGACAGTTTCCATGGTCACGTGGCCAGTGTGATTAGACACGGAACGCCGTTACCTTCCCACCGTGGTGGTACCTATTTATCTACTTGCATTTACATGCTTTCGAACTGCTAGGTTGGCAGGAGCTGGGACAAGTGATGGGAGCTCACTCCATCACGTGGATTTGATCTTACGACTGCTTGGTCTTCTGACCTTGCAGCACAGAGGCTTCTGTGGTTTAACCCACAACACCACCAGTGGCTGAGGTGGGTTCAAATGCAAGGCATGAATTGAGAAATGAAATATGAAATAAGGATAAACTGTTTGGTTGGGGGTGGTGAAGATTCATTGCCATTCAAGAGTGGGGCAAATAGAACAAATGCTGTAGATGGTAATCAGGGGGAGATTATATGCAGTTTTCACAACCAGATTTGTACTTGGAACTTGAAATCCAACAGGTTTGACGTGGTGTAGCCTCCCACAGCCCTTCTGATCTTGTGCAGTGAGATTTCACTGTTTAGACCTGGGGTGGTGGTGGTTAAGAAGGAGTTGGAAGGGCATGCAGCTTCTCAGGGATTCTATGTTATGAAACTACAGATTATCATCTGTCTCAAAAGAGTTTGTGGGAGCTGAAGAGCTGTGTGGCTGCCTGTAACAACTTTGGCAGGCATGGCTATGCAGCGAGTGACGGCCAAAGGGCTTCCTTCGTGCCTTCATTTATTTTCTTCTTATAGGAAGGAAGTACCTGGTGAATTGGTGTTAACTTTGAAAAAAGGTACTAGGAACCCTGGAAATGTAGGAAGCGGGCTATTTCATTTTTTCTCCACCATAGTTTTTAGTTGTTTG